TTTCCTGGGCAAGTCGCCAAAAAGTTGTCGACATCTTGACACGAACCTGGTTTCATAGCCCCATAAATGTCTCCTCGGAATTCCGACCCAATTCTCTAAATCTTCCCAACGCATCTAGGCTAAAATAGCACTGAATTCAATTTTTTTAAACTTTCTTAAAATCCAAGCACCAATACCTGTGCATACAAATGTTGGCATTTGAGGGATAAATCTGTCAAATCTCAAATTCCCTGAATTTCGCTCTTTGCGAAACAAACATAATCCTAGACTTTCTCAACTTAAAAAAAAAAAGTATTGCAAATTTGTCTTAAAGCCAAGTTCTTGGATTCCTATGAGAGTACAAATCTACTTTCAAACTTGCCAAAATCATCGTTATCATTCCCAAAATATTTTCCAGAGTTTCGAAAACAATGAAAGCGTCTAAAATGTTTTATCGATTTAAGTACAGTTTTATTATTTTGAAATATTGGCTCCTCTTGAACACTTCAACAATTATTGATGAACATATTACAATTGTTTGAAAAATTTGTATTGAAACTTGAAGAAGAATAACACATCATAAATTTCAATGCTAGATAATGGTGACGAAATTAATGAGGCATTTCAATCCTATAAATGATCTTTTAATTTTGGAATGTGTCTCAAATCTTCAAAAATAATGGGCAGACCTGTTTTCATTTTATCGAAAGTAATGATTCGTTTTCTTTATCTCTATCACATAGGACACGTGATTCCAATCCTTCAAACTCCTTGAAAGTTTAAAGCATAATCGAGTGAAAATTCGTAATTTGAACCGTAAACGGTGCAAGTCGTATATCTTCTCAAGAACCATTCAAATGCTTTTTGAATAACCTGATAACACTGAACAAATCTTATGCCGAACTCAAGCTTGTCAATTCGAAACCGAAAGAATTTCTCAGATAATTAAGCGAGTTACAGCTGAGTGATAATTTCAGCCCTTTTAAGAACATAACTGCTTATTTTGCATTAGAATGTGTTTACTGTACTAGAAAAATTATTGGAGAACCCTCGCGAGATGCACCTAGTGCCCCCCACTGGCGGTGTCGATGTCGACAGGCTGAAATTAGCCTCTCTTTTTTTCTGGGGTCCTCGTCGGGGCTTGACTATGCACGTCGTTGTCGAACTATTCGAAAGACGCTTGCTTCTCATCTTCTTCCCCGTGGTTGAAAAACTTCGTTTGTATGCCAAGTCATGCATCTTTCCGAACCACGCCAAATATGGTCCTGAATCCTGCTGAGATGTAATCCGATGCCAAGTTTCAAAATACTGTACCTGAGTTGAGTAACTGGAGATTTATGCGTTTCATTTCCTATATGGAGTTCTGGCCTTGCTTTTGTTGACTCATGTTTTGAGATGAGGCTTTCAATTAGGTTTGATAACTGGTTAAGCTCTGCATGGGAGTCCCGAAAAAGGTTTACGAAATCCTTTTAATTTTTCTGGAATTTGCCGAAATAATTGAAATACCTTTCAATATATGTTGCGAATCTTCTGAGGTTTTCAATTTCTTAGGAAAAGGCTTGAAACAGCGAACATATTCGTGTACACTTTTTTCTCATTTTTATCTGGGATTTCGGAATGTTATATTTTTCCGGAGTTCTACAGATCTGCGCACTTGCTGGAAAAGTTACATTATTTTGTATCGACGACTTTCTTGCGATCTTCAAGTTTTCCGTTCAACCTTGTAAAAACTTCAGCAGTTGGAATATTTTTCTATTCCACATTCCACATGAATTTAGATTCAACTTTTCACTATATGGGTGATGGAATGATTTTAAAGCTACGGTCGAAGGAACCTTATCGAAACTGTTATCTTCGTCGTGGTTCTGGTTCGGATGAATTTAATTGAATGTTGGGACTATTAATCTATTCTCATTCAAAGTCGATTTAATGCTATGCTTGAGCCAGTAAATATACTTTTTCGAACACATTTCGTGCAATAAGAGTCCATCAACAATAAACAGATGCAAAATAATTATTAAAAAAGAGGCAATTCCTCGTACAATGATCCCCTCAGAAAAAATCAAGAAAAAACTCGAATTGAAAAAGATTTTGGTTCGGCACACGACGATTTACGATGCCGTGTCAATCTTTATTCATATACACACACAAAAAATAAGATAAATCCTGAGTATAAATAATCAAAGATATTTATTTTTCCGAACTGCTGATGAATATTACACACATTGCTCATCATCGTCTTCTTCTTCTTCTCCTTCCCCTTTTTGCTGCTGCCAATCATCATCACGTAAATAGGGTGTCATGGTCGGCATGGGTCAGAAGGACTCGTACGTGGGTGACGAGGCCCAGAGCAAGCGAGGTATCCTGACCCTCAAGTACCCCATCGAACACGGAATCATCACCAACTGGGACGACATGGAGAAGATCTGGCACCACACCTTCTACAACGAGCTCCGAGTGGCGCCCGAGGAACACCCGATCCTGCTCACGGAGGCACCCCTGAACCCCAAGGCCAACAGGGAGAAGATGACCCAGGTGCACCATCAACAATATACCCCAGCATATCATTTAGTACTGCACATCAATCACTGATATTGATGTGCAGTATTTACAATCTACAGCAGCGAGCAGGCAGCATATCAGTCTCTGCAAAAATCAAGTTATTTATTGAAATCTGCGTATAGCTATACTGTATATGGGACTGAGGAAATCAGAAGCAAAACACAACTGCTGTATAATTGAGAAAAGTATTCATATGCATCAGTGCAGTAGTTGAGGAAAAGCACGATATTCTCTTCTAAATTTTCATCTGCGGAGTCTAAAGTATACATCAGCAAATGTAAACTCATTCTCGGTACTCATCACTCTTTCTGAGACCGTCGAAAGCAAATCTGTTCATTATAGCATGCAGAAGTATTTATATGCTCAAGAAATGCCGATGTCAAGGTTAATATTTGAAGAATTTCTTTCTTGACCGTCAGAGAACAGTTGCATGTTTTCTCCTGAAAACAGCTTTGATTTTGCTTGACAATTCTTCCGATCTTTCATTCGGTTGGTCGATTCAATCGTTGCAATAACCATCAGAGGGTTTAAAGTGACGAGGAATAACGTTTTCCTTCCACCTGAAACAAAGATTAACTGCTGTAACATACTGCTGTACTCATGTAATATGGAGTCGAAGAATTAGGATCGATGTCAAGAGTTTCACGATGATCTTGCTATACTGAAAGTATAATCTTTTTGCTCATGTACTACGTTCCCCATCAATATTGTAATTTGTTGAATCATCCCGTCCAGCAGGACACGT